GGAGCTAGAAACATATCAGTTGGTTCATGTTTGGATTAGTTCTTGTTTTTAAATATGCAGTGTAAAAACACCTTTATAAAGTGAATGTTTCATCATTAAACACTGCAGTGAAATGTTTGGCTGGTCCAAGTTCATGATTATATGACAAAAAATAACCCCACACAAAGTTGTGAAGTTATTGACCTGTGAAGATCAGTTTAAAAAAGCTTTCTGTTCTTCCAGTATTTTTGATTACACAGTTAAAAACTAGTTCCTGTTGTACCAGTGCAGTGCTACCTGCTTGATTTGCCCTATAGTATTTAAATGTAATTACATAATTACATCATTAATTAGACAGTTATGTAAGCAATGGCACTTACATTACATTTTTGTTTTTTTTACATTTTACTTAGCATTGTATTCAAATCATAATAAAATATCTCTTCTGCTTACAAACACAAATGTGAATCAATTGAAAGCTTAGAATCTGCACTTTCAACAGACATTCTTCACATGCGCTAAAGAGCTACAAGTGAGAAATAACTAATGTTGAATTACACCATGCTTTGGTTAGCACTTCTGCTTCTAACTTCTAAGCTTTAAGGACCATTTATTTCTAAGTTAGTTACTTGAGATAAAGTTGATTTTGATGTGTGTTCATAATGTAGTATAGTCACTGGCAGCTTGTGAGGACACAACACATCTTGAAAGTTTTGTTAGCGACGACCCACACTCTTAATAATGGAATTTTTAGTGCTTGGAAGGGCAGAGAGGCCGTCTGCCTCCATACAGCCATGCAAAGATTTCCAGTAAGAGGTGCCTCAAATATCAGGTTTCAGTGTTGTGGTTTTTCACCCATTGTATTCTAACACTAAAACAATGACATCAGGCAAGAGAGGAGTGTGCAGGCAGCTGCACGCGTCTCCTCTAAACAGAGAGAGCGGTAGCAGCTCCCACTGCCCACGTTTAGGCCAAGTCCTGATGGGTTTTGATGAATCGTGTCTCAGTTTGGATACACAAAAACAACCATATGTGCAGGTGCTGTGGCCGGGAGAGGAGAATCATGACCCCATCCATCCACATGTCGCACAAACAACACAGAAAGCCAGAAGCACTCTGTCACCGCAAGTTAGGCTGGTGTCCAGACTCTGACCTCCTCTGAGACGAGATTAGTTGATATTCAGTGTGGTCTAAATTACCCCCAACCTCTCGGGAGCAGATTTATGTGATCATCCACAGTGCCACATATGAGAAGACGTATTTCACAGTAGAGGCTCTTAGGCACTGTGTGTCTGCTAGAACAGGCCTTATAGTGTTTTGTTATGTGCTCGATTTACACTGCATAGTTATTTTGATTGCATAAGTACATCATTAATTACATAGTTACATAACATTACATTTACATCAGCCTGGGCATCAACATGGGCATGGATGGCTTAGCCTGCCTTGAGACTCCAAGCCCCCCCCCACCCCAGCCCCCAAACGCAGATCTGCTGGAGAGGTGTGAGAAGACGATAAACTGCTTAAAATATTCACAAACTTGTTAAAATATATTAACCATGCATGATGATTTTTTTTAAGATGTAGACATTTGATTTGTTTACTGTAGCCAATCAAAATTACCACAATCTGCATCATTACTGAATGTGTGCAGTAGTCCAATCCAAGCCCTTTATTTTCTTAGCCCTCTAATCACTGTTTAGCAACCATTGCTATCCACCATTATCTGCGCCATCCTATCAGTCTGTGCTGTGGGTATATTTTGAAGTTGCAGCTCAAGATACAGCTGACAGATGTTCCTGGGAGACCTATAAAAGCAAAACTTGATACCCTCACAGAATAGAGTGTGTTTCCTACCCATTTCCAAAGCCAAACACACTTTTTGTACATGTTGGCGTGTTAAAAAAAGTTGCTACGTTGTTGTTGTCATTGTCAGTGGGCTTCAAATTTCCTACTCAAAATGCTCTTTTACTAAAATAAGTTTAAATAAGGTGTGTCAAAGCACATGTCTTCTTCCACAAATGAAGGTATCAAAGATGCAATTAGCCCATACATTTTTTTCATGTCTGCTGTGGTAGTACGCTTTAGCTTAGAATACATGACAGTTTAGGTTTTTAAGTTTGCTTGTTTTTCCTCAATTTTGTTAGCTAACCTACATCTCAGCTGTTTAATTTTAACTCAGTTATGTGGGCTTCACTAGGGTATTTTATAGTGCCTGTCAAAACCAGATGCATGTTTTAGGGAAGGCGTTGTTGAGTTTATGTGAAGCCTGCATTCTAGTTGTTGTTTTGTAGCTGTGGATTAGGTAGGATGATGCCTGCACTGGAGGGACACATTGTGTTTGAAGAATGTAGAAAATGTATCCTGAAAAGGAAACTTTTTTGTGCACATGCATACAATGGATTGCTTCATTCTGGTGCTGGGGTCTGATTTACATTTGATTTATATTCTGCATTGACAGGTTCAAGTCACTTCTGACCATTTCCATCTGTTTCAGTGTTCAAAAAACATGGCTAAAAGGAAGAGGATGTTTTTGCTTTATCTGAAACAAAACGGTACACAAAATTCAATAATAATCTTCTGTTCTACTTAAAGACACAAACATGATTTGGAGTTTAGAATCAACAAAATTTCTCTGCTTTTTTCTGTAAACTTTGAGTAAGAAATAATATAAAATTATGACATGCTTTTCTTATTCCCAACAATAACTGTGGCTTCTAAGACTTACGGAAAGAAGGATGTAGATCTCTAAGCTCTTCAGTATATCTTTTAGTGCGATTTCCACATTAACGTTGGCTGTGAAAGACAAAACAAGTGGGGATTGGGATTCAAAACCAGCCATCTTTTCAGGATCTCAACACAGAACATGTGCTCTCCATCAGTTTGGTCAAAACAAATGACTTTCCCAACCTTGGCCATGTCGCAATCCAAGAAAACACGCTTCATGCCAAAAGACTAATTGCTGCCATTTAGCATCAGTCGCATGTTCCCCTTTTTTTTTTTTAACAACCCACGCAGCAAATGCCATATCATATGATGAAATGAGAAACTGAACTCTTCTGTTTGGGGACAAAGTGAAATGAGATATGTCACATCTGTACCGAACTCCTCCCTGTGCGTGTGGATTATTAGTATTATACCAGAGCCCAGCAATGCACGCTCATCCAAACCATTGTACGAAAGATTTAAGCCAGGACACAGCCATAATTACTGTACTGATCTGTTGAACGTTTATTGCAGGAAATACGCAGCTAAAGAGGCAATAATGTTAACGAGGACAGATGTTGTGCGCTTATTGTGTGTTGTGCTAACTTTTTGAGGAGATTTGGTCGTCACAAATACACCTATTCTTCAGTGCTTTACATGTTTTGTACACTCTGTCCAAAGTCCCACTACAGTAAGACAGATTTGTTTCATATATTTGATCTATTAATAGTTATGCTGTGGTATCAGTTACTTGGTTAAACTGGTCCTGCAAGTCATGTTATTGCATTGTGTCGTCTAGTCTTTCACCTGCCACATGTACTTTATGTACATTAAAACATGTTTGGCAATTGCAGTCTTCAGGAACCATATATAAGGTGTGTAAATATATACAGAATAAATATATAAATAGCATAATGAAGTTTCTGTTCTGGGTGGTCTCACAAACAATATTCAGTATTCAATTTCAATATTCTTTTTTTAGGTAATATTTACTTTACAGTCTACCCTGTCTCTTAGTGTGGGCGATATGTCAAAACTGTAGTATCACAATACTTGAAGACATTTTTATGATGTTATCATGACATGATATTTAGGGGTAGAGTTTTGCAAATAAGATGGAACAGACAAAGTGCACCATCAAAACCGCAGTGCAGTGTTTAGAATGGCTATGAATAAGTAATTATTTTTATTTAACGTTTGCAAAAATAAAGTTAAAAAAATGAATAAAAGATTATCATAATGGGCTAAAATCTAATCACCTGCTTGTGTCTTTGTAGTGTGTGCAAGTGTTTTAAAACTGATAACTGTGCAAAGCCAATGTAAAATCAAATAAACTCAATATTCACACACACATGACCGCATCACAACAAATTGAATTGATGCTAGTGGAAATTAGCATTACAATTGTGTGGGTAATTTATTGTGCAAAATTATATATAAGAAATCTGCATTAAATACTATTATATTATCATGTTTGCATCATTATATGACAAAGCTTATATGACAAAAGCAATATATCACGATGGGTGATGGGTTGTTTTTCATCATTGTTTTCCACTTGGCAACAATAGCATACTCTCACCTTAACACATTTCTTAGTGGAAGATTTTTTTTTTATTACAATTAATTAAAATGTATTTTGCAAAATTGTATATTTTATGATTTTTACTTTATATTGCTGCCATTTTCTTAAAACCATAAGCCACTGTAACCATCTCATAATAAAATCCTCTCATGGCTTATTGCTTTAAAATACAGCCATATGCAAAAGTTGGGACACCCCCAAATTACATTTTGTTGATTTTCTAAGTAAAAATAAGTTACATATCCTCCACAGGGAACATACTTAAATATGCCATTTTTAAGGAAATTATAATGCAATTTTACAATAATTTCTATTTTTTTTCTGCTAAATATAACATACTGGAAAAAATAAATCATACAGTATAACGTGCCACATTTTATGTTTAACATGTTAAATTCAGCAAATAAACACTGCCTGTGTAATACAATGCACAGAAGTGTGTTCTCTGTAGAGGATGTGTTAACTTACTTTTTACTTTTCAAACTAAATTTGAGCGGCATGCACAAACTTTCACATACAACTATGCACTGGCTGTTGTTGTTGTTCTCTCTATGACTGGTCTGATCGGCCTTTTATGAAGACATATGTAGTTATTCAATATTCCAGAAGAACGATACCTATGATACTCAGATAGAAAATCATATCATGACATGATTTATCATGTTGATAGCATATCATCATAGTGTACATCCATGTCTGACTCTGTTTTTTCTTGTCTCCGATCTCTCAGATATTTGGGTTTGTCAATGCTGTCAGCCCAGTAGGCAATGACCAGCAGAATCTTCTAGCATTCCGATTCTCCGCCCTCAACCCCGTGGTGGACCCCTGGGTCTTCATCATCTTCCGCAAGTCTGTCTTCCAGAATGTCCGTGCATTCTTCCGCTGCCGCTTCAGTAGGGCAGCGGTGAAGGCCACACCCCACAGCGGTTTATCATTTCCCCTGCAGAGCGGAGGACCTGCGAACTCTGCTGCTCTCCAGAGCAAGACTTACTCCAACATCCCTCACTGAAGCACTGAAGTGGAGCTATGAACGATGCTGGACTGTGGAGACTTAATTAGTGAAAAAGTATTGTAATGCACTAAGACCTACAAAATAGGAAGCTGAGGAACATGGACATCCAGGAGCTACTTTGAAGGGGATATGAAAGATGTTGTATAGTACCCCAGAAAGGACGCTTTCTCCCAAAGCTACTGAAAGAGATAATATGTGTAAATACAGGACTGAGGCTTCTGAAGGCCTATGTGTACACACCTCAGCATGTGAAGCACAAACCGTGCTGAGTCCCATTATTGACTGCACTGAATGCACTGAATTTACTTGATTCAAATGTGAACATCATGTACTTCATGAATAAGTTACATGTTACACGAACAAATAATTGCCAAAAGTAAACTGAATGACAAAACTGTGTTGATAATATTTATTTTATTCATGTGGAAAGTATGTACAGTGAAAACCACCCTTCATTTATTGAATTTTCACTTATTGAATTCAAAAACAGTTTTTTGGAGACCTGCTTTCAGTTTTTCAAATGAATCTGCAGGGATATTTTTCCACACCTCCGAAGTTCAGTCTTAGGAGTTGGTTGCATTTTCTCTTTCTCACAATCCAAGAAGTCCTAAACACATTTAATGATGTTGAGGTCCGGACTCTGGAGTGGTCAGTCCATTGTTCTGAGAACACCAGCAGCTCCTTTGTTTGATTTCCTTCTTTTTTATCTATTTTCTTTTCTCAGTAACAGCTTCTTGTCAGCTACACATCCTTTCAGACCCATAGCGTTGGGTTATTGTCTCACAGTGGAAGGATGGAGCTTGATTTTCTCCTGTTTCATAAAAGATAAAAGCTTTAAGTTCTGTTTGGTGACAGCTTGGCTAGTCTATCAAGTCTTGCATGGTTGCTAGTTGTTACATTTTTTCTGTAACTTTTAATCATTTTTGAACTACACTTTTGACAAGTTCTGTTTTTTTCACTTCTTTTATTTTGACTTGGATTATCTTATATCTCCTCAGAAATATTTCCTGAAAATGATAACTTGAACTTAATGGCTGTTTTGACTGGAAATTAAATGAAGGGTGGTCTCTCACTTGCACAGTACTTGTATCAGATAAATTCAGTGCATCGCGTTTTTCAGTGTGAGCACTGAACGTTACTTCAGAGCTTTAAGATAGAACTATTGGTGTCTACACTCTAGAATAAATGGTCCATTTACACATGTAACACATATAGGGCACTTTCAACAGCTTATGCAGAAAGTTGGTGAAGTATAGTTAGTACCTGACAGAATGGACCATGTTGTAACTATGTTGTACAGTATATTAAATATTGTATTTAATTAAGAGGCATTCATTCCAAATATGAAAGCAAAAGCTGGTGATCCTTTAGTTTGGTGCCTGCAGGTCAAATTAAGTGAGAAGATTCCTACTTTAATTCGTTAAGAGACATCAGTAGGTGACTGAAATATTGTCATTGTCAGTAAATACGTTTTCTTTATCTCAGTAGTGACTCACTTGGTGCCTGCTCTTGCAAAACTCAGAGATGTGATGGCACCATCACTGCGGTTATCACTGTGTCACACTGTTTCAGTTCATTTCAAGGCTCTCACCAATGCTGCTTTCAAAGACCACAATGAGCTGTATCACTCGAATCTGACTCTAGTTGTGCAGGAGGGAAGATCTCTGGGAAGGGAGTGGGTGGTATCACGGCAATAAGATATGCCATGGTATTTAAATATGATGTCTGTACTGATGACAGTATTTCCAGAATATGACATTTCAAATATCATTTCCATGCCTGAATGGCCAAATATACACATTTCACCCATTTATGTTTTAGAGGTGCTCACTGATTGGTGTTGTGAGAGCTCACCAATATTTGATGCTGATAGAAAAAAAGGGAAAATCAGAGTCAGGAGAAACCTCAGAAAAACTAAGCATGAGAGTAACACAGTAACAGCGAAGACCTACACAGAACACCACAGAACACTGTTCAATTTTGGCTTTTATTCTAACACCAGCCACTTCACTTTACACTCTGAGATATTCTCTAAAAAGGTATAATTTTAGCATCAGTAAGCTGGAACCAGGCTTGTGCTGTGTGGCTTGTGTGGCTTGTGCTGTGTGGCTTGTGTGGCCTGCTAAGCTCTCATTAGCTTAGCCAAAACAATACAGTCTTAAACACCACAGAACTGGTTTGATTTTGGCTTTCAGTCACTTTAACATCAATCACTTCACTTTGCATGCTAAGATTTCCTCTAAATATGTGTCGTTTTGGCATTAGTTAGCTGAAATCAGGCCTGTGCTATGATGTTTGGAAAACACTAAGTCCCAAACACCACAGAGCATGTCCGATTTTGGCCTTCTGTCACTCCAACCCCAGTCACCTGACTTTTGCTCTTTCTGACATTATTTTTTTTCTATTCTAAACTCGTCTCAGCAGGACACCTAGTTAGAATCAAACCTGTACTGTGCTGGGTAGCATTGTTTGGGTATGTAGCCTACTCACTAAGTTAACATTATGTTAGCCAATCAGGCTACATGTTCAAACACATACACCTTTCCTTCCCTTCGACGCCAGTTGCTTGACTTCACTCCCTCAAATTTGAACATTATCATCTAAACTTGTAGCAGTGCTTTAATTAGCCAGTATCTAACATGTTCTGTGGTGAGCAGAGCTGAGCTGTTATCATGCTAGCTAAGCTAATGCTGACCAGCTCCTCTTTCCTAGTTTACAGCACTGTTTAACATTTATTCATTGTTAAATAGATTTTTTGACATTGATTGAATAATGGCTTGAAAATCATGGACAGTATTCACCTATTTGGTGACCATGCAAGTGAACCACTTTTTGATTTCTTTCAATCTTGAAATAACACAGGATGAGACAGCAAAAAAAAGCATCATAAATGCTTTTACGTCACTTTCAACACCCGGGGTTATGCATGCAACCCCGGTAATACCGTATACAACAGTTACCACCCAGCCCTACTCTTGCATGTATGCGATTGAATTTAATGGCATTTGAACTAAGCACTCTATACAAGAATAGTGCCATTTCAGGCTATGATGTTGAGTACAGTGTTTTGTTTTGTTTGTTGTTTTTCTTTTTCCGTTGAGGTTATTTCAGTAATCATTTCTTCATTGAAAATACATGGTTAAAATATTGTGTAACAACATGTCTAGCAGCACATAAAGCAATTTGCACTTTCCTTTACCCGATCAGTTGGTCTGTGGTTCAGTGTTTGCAATGTGACACAGAAGATAGACCATGGTGTAACATGTGGTATCAATTTCTTTTTAATGTTAAACTCTTTCAGGTCATTTCTGTGGTGTATCTGAGGTAACGCCTGTTTTTGCCTAACTTTCTCTCTCTACTCATGGGACATTTTAATATTCAGGCCTTGTCTGTTCCAAATTTTCGGAATAAACTTTCCGAAGTGCCACATGGCTACTTTCTTGACTGTTCTGGAAGCCAGTACAACAGATGCTTAATTGGAATCATAAATAGCAGACATGCTGGAAGCAGGGCCATTACCGTCCATATATGGGTGAAGTTGTATTGGAATGTGGTCACTATCACCTTAGACTAATGCTTTTGTATATAGAGCTCTTGAAGCAGCGGTAGGCACTGATATCGACAGCGGAGAGTTTATAGACAGTCACCCAAACCTTTCAAAACAGATGTATTCTTGAGTGTGCTTACAGTGAAGGCTACATCAGTAATACTTAAATTTACATTGTTATACAAAATATAACAACCATTCGTTATCATTTATGTAAAGTAAAATATTGGACCTAGTAGCTATGACATGCCTGATTGTGACCATCTTCTCTGCTATAAATGTACTTACTAGAAGAATGCAGTTTGCAATGGAAATGTTAGATGGTGAACGTGGTAGCTCTGTATTTATGTGCTGATGTGGTTTGAGTGCGTTTTTTTTGTGTGCAGTGATGTATAAAGCTGTTTCCATGCAGACGTGCACTTGGCTTCTTTTGTGTATATTGGAGTTTTCCTTGCAGTGTTGCAAGAGAGAGATTATACTTGCCTGTTCATGGAGAGTTGTAAAGAAATAAACATTTCTAAAAAAAAACATGGCTGTTTTTTGGGATAACAGCAAACACACTGGCAGGCTATATGTTGGAAATGCCAAGAACAGAACAAATTTATGGATCCAGAAATGACAAAGGTTTCTTAGCCAAGAGTCGAAAACTAGTTCAAGGCAACAGAACTTCAAGGCAGAAACATGTCCTAAAGAACATGAGTGTTTGGAATAGATGAAAAACAATACAACAAGCTAGATTAATTAATTTTAGCTGCTAATTTACTACAAAAAAAAGCTTTTACGTTTCCACCTGTGGTTTACCCATACTAGACTATAAGACTTTTTTGCTGTTGTTTTTGTTTATTTATATATTTATTATACTAATCGAAATCCTAAGATCCGGCCGGGTGACCTGGGTCGTTTCTGTGCGGAGTTTGCCTGTTCTCCCCGTGTCTGCGTGGGTTTCCTCCGGGTACTCTGGTTTCCTCCCACAGTCCAAAAACATGCAGTCAGGCTGATTGGACATGCTAAATTGCCCCTAGGTGTGAGTGTGTGTGAATGTGTATGACTGTCTGTCTGCCCTGCAATAGACTGGCGACCTGTCCAGGGTGTATCCTGCCTTCCGCCCAATGACAGCTGGGATAGGCTCCAGCACCCCACCGTGACCCAGAAGGATAAGTGGTTTAGATGATGGATGGATGGAAATCCTAAGATGTTTAAACTGGTCTAGCAACTTCTTGCATGTTTGCACTCCATTACAAGTTTTTTATTATCTGTGAGTCGCTCCGACAATTACATCTGCACTTAATCCTATTTGGCTAAGCAAAAGCATAACAGACACACACAAAAAAGCACCCGGACGTGCTGCGTGCAGTTTCAAATTAGTGTAAGCTGTGTGCTTTCAGCAACTTTCTCTATCATTAATCAGAAGTCATTTGGATTTGGGTTCCATCAGTTACATGGTCTGCTAACAGCAGAGTGGCTCAGTGCCTGCAGAGTGGCTCAGTGCCTTCAGCGGGGCGGCATGGTGGTCTTTATGCCGATGAGTAATGACCAACTTTTGTGTAACATAAACTCATATGAGACAAAGAAATGCACTGTCAACAAGAACTGGCTTTTCAGACAAAGCCATTTATGCATCTGACAATCTTGAATTTGTGTCCACTGCACAATTAAACAGGCCTGGCAGCATGTAGTTTGCCAGATGTACACATTATAGGGAAGTGAAGACTGTCACATTTACAAACACGTTTGGTTTGACTAGAGGTTTTAAATAAAAGGGGATTTCAACATTTCCTCCAATGTTTAATTTCGTCACTGTCATAACACAACTTTGCTTCACTCAAATGGTAACATTACAGGAAAAGAAAAAACGGTAATGCTTTCTATTAAAGCTGTGTTCATAAATAGTTAGAA